CAGAGCCGTAACTAGCCATTCCTGTGCCCTGTGCAAGAATTTGCATTTAGGCCCCTTAATTTATTTGGTTTTGGGAAAATAATAAAACAAATACATTACAATAGATTTTTAATAAGATTTATTTTAATTGAATTTTTTTGACTTTCATTTCAGCAAATTCATTAATTACACCTTCACAATTAATATTTTTAACGATATTGTATTCTATTGAAATAATAGAAATATTGGATAATCGTTCTTGTCCGATAGTTGATCATAAATAATTTTTTATTAAGTTTAACTTGCTAAAACTTCTATCGCACGAAGCGATAGAAACGGAAAGAGTTTAAAATATTTGAAGAGCGACACTGATATTTGAGTAAAATTCAATTAAACTAAAATCATGAAGAGCTTGTAGAATATTAAGCGGATATGCAGTTTCCATATTTTGTATAAGAGTCGTTACTTCAAAATTAAAACTTTCAATTTCACTTGTAAATTCGTACTTTTTAAAATCTTTGCTATATTTAATAGCGAGATCTGCAGCCGATTTTTTTTAAATCAGCAACACTCATGTATTGTAAAGACGAGCCACAGAGAAAGCAAAAATCGTCACAGATAGTTTTCATTTTTTCATAACGCCAATCTATTTGACACAATAGAGTGTCAAGAACACTGTAAATTTGTATTTTAAATAATTTTTCGGGTGTCAAGTTACTTTCTTTATTTGGTGTTTTATCTATTTCCATTATCTTAACTTTTTTTTCGTTTATTAAAAAATTCTTTTTCTATACTTTTTGGTTTGTTTTAAGAATATGATCAATAATAGCATCTGTTAATATTGTTGGCCATAAACTTATATCACTTATTACTTCCATGTATCTATTTACTGTATATCGAAGCGTTTTTCTGGACTATTTCTATCTTCTGCGTTTTCGCAATCCCTTTTTTTTCAGTAGCATTTTAATTAAAGACTGCGGGAGCCCCTTCGGGGTCCTACGCGCCCGCATAGTTCGCTTACCGCTTAATCCGCCGTTCAGGTATACACCACATATGCGTACCACTATAATGCTATAGCAAAAAATGATGTCAGAATTTCTGCACGCCTTTTACAACCTCGAGACTAAGATTTTATTCGGGAGTTACCGTTTTCAATTTAGTAATTTTTAAAAAATCCTTGGGCAGATTTATTTTTGTTACAAAATGTTACCTTTACAGACTTTTAGCTCTGCACACTAGAAATTCTAGAAATACAGTTTTGTATATCATAATAATATTAGTAGTTGCCAGAAAGCTCTATAAAGTAGAGAAAAATCTGTAAATTTGAAAACTATAAATTTAAATTTCTCAAAAAATAAATTTAAAAATCTCAAAAGTCGCTACTTTTGGCTGATTTGTCTGAGGTCTCCGCTACCTCACTACGTCCCTCTAAAAGCCGCCACACTTGGAAACTTTGGTGAGCAGACATATAGTGTCTAAGTAAGGCGAAATGTAATCGCCAAACCGCGCTGTAGAAAGGCGGAAAAATTTTAAATTTAAAAAATATAATTTCTTGTGAACAGCAATTTGGGCCCCCTTCCAAGTGGGCCCTATGCGGGTGCACCTGTTGCACCTGCCTAGTTACGGCTCTGTAGAGGGGGACCATGTGTCATATCTCGAGTGGAATCGGACTTAACGAGTAAACTCCTCATTAACATTTTCAATTTTTTTAAATAAAACTCATTTCTATCTTCAAAATTAAGTGATTTGTCGTTTTATAATAATAGTATAATTTTTTTAATAATAAAATCTTGTAACGGATGATGCAGACACTATTTATTAACCATTTCGGTTTCAAGCGTAAGTTTTGATCTCTCAAATATTTGCTGTTACGAATATTGGTTTAATAAAATCATTGAAATGATGCAATCGAGTTAGTAACAGAGAATGAAAAGAGAATAAGAAGAAGATACTGATAGGAAAGTACAACTGCAAAGCTGAGTCCTGCTCCAAAATTTTGTTGACACATCCTCGAAGTGAAAGCTATCAGAGGTCATACATCTTCAGCAGTTAATGTTCTGGCACTTAAGAAAACTTATGGAACTCAATAATCGCTTAGAGATGTTTGGAATGTAAGCGTGATTGTCTCTCACTATTTCTTGTAAACTTCGGGACAGTATTTAACAAACTATGCTGAAGCAAGAGCCGCCAAATAACACACACATTTTCTAAAGGTACAATCTGGATTGTTTTGCTTCATTTTATATGCGGTAGTGTTAAGTTCGGAGAACATAATATTTGCTGTGTCAGACGCAAAACCGATCATGTCTTTGAAATAAAAAAACACTCAAATTTTAATTGTTCTTTGAGTAAGAACAAATGTTTTGCTGTTGTGCCTCTAGACTTAAATCACACGGAGCAGCTTGGATAGCTAAAAATGTATTTTGAAGCTTTATATTTCTTAAAATATACATTTGAGACGATTAATTTAACAAGCAAATTATCGTACAACTCAAAAATTCTTGAAACTCGCTAAAATCGTTAGTAATTCGATCAACTTAAAATATTCAAATTTTCTGTATATATAGAGGTAACGAAGTTTAAAGAACAACATTTAGAAGAACAATGTGAACAAAAATCAATTTATTGATTCATTAAATTAACATTAAACCAGAAATAATTTTTAATTAATTAACTGATATAATAAAATTAATTTAATCATTGAATTTGTCATTGTTTGAATTCCAGTCTTTTCGTTTCTTGAAAACCACAAAGTAAAGAAACTTATTCTCGAGTTGACGAGACTTTTTATATTGGAGATATTCCCCAAAAGTACTCTCTCGAAATGGATGAGAGACCTCGAATTCATATTTTAAGTTCAATCGATCCTTTTATCAAATCATTAGACACGGCTTTTATTGGAAAAGAATCTTCTTCGAATATCTACGAGATGTTAAATTATTGTCAATTATTTCGTTTGAAATATTTTAAGTCGCAATCGGTAAATTCTTCTCGACAAAGTTTTGATTGATATTTTTGAATTCCATTTTACAATTCGTGGTCTGTGGGGTTGAAAAGATGCAAGCATCACACTTTGGGGGTTTTCATCTTTATGTAAGCATCATTTCCAAGTGCCTTGCTGTCGATTTCATGTTTTCTTCCACCACGTTCTTTTGTTTTTCTGGACGAAGCCGGTTGTGGATGATTTCAAAATCTGAAAGAATTTCTGAAGTTCTTTTAAGTCGTCTGTAGCATTTGACTTAAAATGTGTATTAGTGTATTAGTTCGTTGTTTGTTCAAATTTTCAATCGTTTGATGGTCATATATATTCTGTCTTCACTTCGTTTTTGAACGTCTTGAAATGGAACATTACTTTCCTCACCAGGAACAAGGTTACTTTTCTCTACAAAAACGGTTGTAGCAGAGATATATTAAAATACTAGCACCTACCCAAAATAACATCATCAGAGATACAATTATATATTCGATTGTTTTTAGTTTTTTATATTTTGGATCTTGAAATGTTTCGTCATGATTTTCGTGATTCTTTTTCAATTCTACTAAACTCTGCTTAACTCTTGTTTTAAATCTAGTTTTTAAGTTCTTCGAATGAACAATCAATGGTTTACCAATCCTTTTCTTATGTCTAAACTGTGGAAATTGTTGTTTTCTATTTGATGTTTTATGTTTCTTCTTGAACTTAGTTCGTTTTTTGTTAAATGAGTAGAATTTCCTTAGCTTTATATTTCTGTTTTGAGTCAAGAAATAATGTTGAGGATAATTAAAAATACATTTTCCCCTTTTACATCGGTGTATTTCACTCTTAGCTATTTGAGCAATAATTTTGGATTTGGTCTTTTTCATTTTGTTTTTGAGTTTCATTCGTTTTTTTTGTTTTTCATCTTCATTCACGTCAAACAAAGAAAGAACTTTCCTCTTACTTTTCACCTCTTTATTATGTTCTTTGTTGATATTTCTGAAGAATTTCCTTTCCTTATTCAAATTAGTTTTAAAATTGTCATATTTGACAATCAAGTTGAATTTTTTTCTTCGATTATCATCAAATAATGAATCAATAGAAGGAAATTTTTCTTCTTCATTTTTTATGTCCTTATACTTGTTCCAATACTGGATCCATCTATTAATAAATGCTTTTCGAAACGATGAAGATGCCACAGTGTTATCAGCAACATATGAATGATTGATGATTGAACTTGGCTCTCTCATCGAGGATTGGGTTCTTCTTTTCTGTAATCCCAAGGAAAATAACGTTAATTTATTCATTTTAAGATAATATATAGTATTAATATATAATTAATAAAAACAATATTAGAAATTTGATAATTTATTCGAATGCCGTAGTGATTTTTATACGAACCTCGATTTGTTTCTTCATAAAGTTTAGAAGTTTTTGTTTCAGTGCCGAAGAAATATAATTTCCTCTGACTTCAGGTTCATTTTTGTCGTCATTGAATATATTAAAATCAAAAGTTTTCTTGACTTTCGAACGAGTCATTTTATTGGAATGTTTTGTCTCATATCCATGTTCTCCCCTCAATAAGCAAAGAACAAAAATTAACTTCAGATATATCTGAATCATTTTCATTAAATCTGTAAAATAAAATTTGTAATTCAAAATTTATTGTTATTTAAATATTTATAAATAAAAAAAAATTGAAAAAATGCTTATGTTGTATCTTCACTACTTATAATTGAAATATAATAATTATAAAAATAATTTATTTAAATATTTGTATTTGTAGTCATAAATTTCTTAAAAATCTTTTCTTCATTCTTAAGAATTGCTGCTATACACACAACAATTAATCATAATAAAGTCTGTTTGATTTCCAATCGGTGGCTATGAAATGTCTCGTCTACTCCATATTTAACATTAAAAGTATAACACGATAACATTCAGCAATTGATTCGTTAATAAAGATAAAAAAACTTACAAAATTCAATTGAAATATTAATCAACTCAATATCAATAAACGCAGAAAAATCTCTCTCCAATTCGCACTTGCTCGACTTGCAACAAAGCAGAACAATAATAAACTAACAATAGATTCTAAAATATTGTGTTTAACAATTATGAAAAATGAAATATGTTCGAATTTTATTGAATTTTAATAATTAATCGGTATTTTTTAAAACTCTTTTCGCACTGTGGGCACTAAAAGTACATTCTTTAGCAGCTCATTATGGGTTTGGCCAGACCCATAATGAGCTGGAAAGGACGGGTTCCGACATATTTGGGACCCGAAAAATTCCCGTGGTTTTTCGACCCGTCCAGATTTGGGTTTGATCCCGGATCTTAATATCCCACAGTTTTTAATAGGCCTATTATAATTACACATTTTAGCGTTCTTAATATTTATTAAAATGAAAAGAAAGACACTCAGTTTTTTTCTCTTTCCGACCTTCCGACCTGTGGGTACTAGCGGGTCTTTTTTTCTATACTCATCGTGGGTTTGACTAAGTTCACATTGATGTCAACGGATGATGATGATGATGATAAGAGCCTGACATACTACGAGTATATCCGGGATAGACTGAATGTTCATGAAAAATTCTTGAGGCTTTTCGACTGCCCAAATTTAATCCTAGTGTCTAGAACGGCGAGATAGCCTGAAATAGCTGTCACTCCCTGGGTTTGTTTAGCATGCGCCGCATGCTTAAGAGAAAGTTTTGAATGTCAATATACTTTTTATATGAGAACAAATATGCCAATAATAATTTATTCTAACGTGTAAACTCTTATCATTTGTGTTTGCTTTTACATTGAGAGCTAGCGGCTAGCCGTTTTAAGACAGTGCCATGCTTGCGGAACTCGATCGCTTGCTCGTTTGGAGGTTTGCCGCAGCAAAGTACGCGCGTATGACGTCATTCGAAGCATTTAACACAACCAGATTGTATCGAAAGCTTGAGGTACCCAGTCAGTATACATGTATTGTGTGCAGGGACTGATATACATAGAGATTAATAGGGCTTAAGCCCTTAGCCCCCAGTGTCAAGGGCCCACCAAATTTGAATTATTATCATAAATTTTTAATACCTTTTCATTATTATATATTTCATATATTTTATGTGTAGATATAATGGACTTTATAATAGTCCATACTTTTTATTCACACCAAATAACGTTTATGCCTATTGTTTAGTGCTAGAGATAGGCCTATTATTCTTATTATAACTTTCAGCATGGCCAAAAATTTTGGTAAGGGTTCACCCGTGTCTATCACTCTAAGCGATATGACTAGAAATCTCGAAATATATCATTTTTAAATATTTTGTATTTTATATAATTAATATTATGCTGTTGAGAATGACCAGTTAATTTTATCTAAAGCGTATTAAAACTGGATTTTAAACAAAATTTTAGAAATTTTTGATGGAATTTTTTTGACGTTCTTAATATATCAGATAATTGCAATAGTTAACAAGCTTTCGTTTTCCTTATCTTATCGTTTTATTTCATTGCTAATTTAAGATTATTAGTAATAATTGATATTAATTATAAATAGGATGTTCGAAGTAAATTAATTACTGTACATTTAAAGCTAATTTCTATATGATTTAGTGTTAAATAAATTTATAATACAAATTTATTTAGCACTATATCATAACATATTTTTGATACTTCCAATGTATAATAAAATGGAATATCATTAAATCGGTGCATAAAATAGACAAAATTAAAGATTTTTTTAAAACACTCGAGAAATATACTGGAATATCTAACAATTTATAAATACAGTAGAACCTCTATTATCCGGATTTTTCCTTATCCGGACTACCTTCATCCCCAATTAGTCCGGATAATCGAGGTTCTACTGTATGTTTTAATTAAAGACCTTCGTGAATGTGAGACCCAGACAGGTCATATTACCTGTCTGGGCCCTATATTTACGAAACTATTAAGACATCAGTTCTGAAAAACTTAGGGTTGAACCCGAGAGGATAAAAGGTTTTTTTTTTCAGGAATTTTTCAGGGTGATTTGTCTCAGATATGGCTCCTTTCCTACCACTCGGCCGCCATATTGTGAGCTTGGTAAACAATAACGTTTCTGCCTATTGTTTAGTGGTAGCGATAGGCCTATTATTCTTATTATAACTTTCAGAATGCCCAAAAATTTTGGTCAGGATTCACCCCTGTCTATCACTCTAAGCGATATGACTAGAAATATATCATTTTTAAATATTTTGTATTTTATATAATTAATATTATGCTGTTGAGAATGACCAGTTAATTTTATCTAAAGCGTATTAAAACTGGATTTTAAACAAAATTTTAGAAATTTTTGATGGAATTTTTTTGACGTTCTTAATATATCAGATAATTGCAATAGTTAACAAGCTTTCGTTTTCCTTATCTTATCGTTTTATTTCATTGCTAATTTAAGATTATTATTAATAATTGATATTAATTATAAATAGGATGTTCGAAGTAAATTAATTACTGTACATTTAAAGCTAATTTCTATATGATTTAGTGTTAAATAAATTTATAATACAAATTTATTTAGCACTAAGAAACCAACAATCCTTCGTTTACTTTTAAAGATTTATATCTACATTAATCATTTTTCTTTAGATACTCTTATTTAATTAATATTCATGTTCTAAATATAACCTATCTTGTTTCATTTTAAACATCCATGTCTCAGAAAAACCGATAATAGAATGGTATTATATAGAAGAAATGTAAAAGAATTTATACAGTTTTTCCAGTAATCTTCGAATATTCCAACATGTCAATTCGTTTATCGTTAATTCTCTAGTAGTTATTGATTATTTCTTAAAAAACCAGTGAATTTAATCACTTTAACCAGACTAATAACATANTATATAACTACAACATTTTCTTTTCTTATTTTTTTGAAACATTAAAATTAGTCGAATTTTTCGAGAAGAAAAATTATTTCAAAAATTAAAGATTAAATTAATGAACTTCAGATTTATATTATAGATATAATATAAAACCTTAATCTTGTAAAAGTTCCTACTCTGTATATTTTTCTCACTCCGTTGCAGCATTTAGCAAATAAATGTCACGAAAGAAAATATTCATTTCAAAAATGACATTATCTTCGCAATTTATTCTGGCAAATATTTCAGTATTGACGAATAAAAGATCACGAAAGACGTGCAATAATGAAATAAAAGTTTTGGAGTTATAGTGAAATTTTTTCGCGAAACACTCGACATTATCTATATATATATAAATGAATGTATGTCTGTCTGTCTGTTTGTCTGTCCTTCATGCATTACCACACCGTTTATCCGATTGCCATGAAACTTTGGGAAGTTGTTTAATATACTCCCGCGAAGGTTTCTGGCATAGTACGATTGCCATGAAGCTTTTAGAAGTTTTTTTAATACACTCCGTTTCTGGCATAGTACATTTATCCTACGATAGATGGCGCGATCCTACGATAGCGTGTATACGAGCATTTCATCGTGAGATCGATGGATTTCAAATTGTGAAGACCATTTCCCCCCTCCAAAAAATATCTCTATATATGCATTTGTGAACTGTTATTTACGATATTTGTAATAATTTTTGTTTAATCACTTTATTTCAACCTTTTTTTGCTAATTATGTATTCGCTCGAACTTCGTTAAAACCTTAACTGTATCCCGAACAACAACCGATGTGTTAGGAGGAAATTCGCCAATTTTATCGATCTAGGGATCCCCTTTTTCCAAATTTTAATATCGACTCAAAATAATTTAAAAAGACAAATTACAATAAAACGGTTTATTATCCAACTATCAGAAATTTCACAACATGCCAAGGAAGAAAGGAAGGAACAATTAAATAATTAAAATTGTAAAGGATTAAAAAATATATACAGTAGAACCTCCATTATCTGGACCTCTATTATCCGGATTTTCGATTATCCGAATTGTTAAAAATAAACAAAAATTTTACGAATTTGCTGATTTCCACTTGGCGAATTATGATACTGTTTATGTACGTAATGGAATGTATAACTTTTTTTGTTTCAACAACGTCTCACCCAGTACAGTGGTCGTAAACTCTTAAAAATATTATACGTAGTAATAAAAATATAACCTGACATACGTATTTATAAATAATTTCTATTCAAATTACATCATTTCTATGACCAAGGGCGGCGTAAGGCATGGACGACGTGGGCCACCGCCTATGCTTCCGAAGGGCCTCACGCCTCGAAAATTTATGCATTACTTAAAAGCCGCGAACGCGACGAAAAANATACAGTAATGTAATTATGCAGTGGTACTCAAAACGATAATCTATGAAAGCTTATGTAAATCGTGGTATAGGTAAGGAAATGCAACAAAATATAATGTGGAGGTTTATTGTTATCTATATATATATATATAAATGGACGTGTGTCCCTATATTTCACTTTTTCGCCAAAACTACACATCGCACGTGAATGATGTTTGTATGTGGTGGTAGCCCCAAGTCTCCATTCGTGCACCAGGGGGTTGCATCTCGATAGCTATAAGTGTGCGGGAGATATGAGGCTGAAAGTGATTGAAACTGGCTTTCTATTTCGAATGTTTTGTTCGAATTTGTTCGAATTAAATTCGAACATAAAATTTGAATATTGTTTCGATTATGAAGAAATTAATAATAAAAAAATAAACTTATTTTTATGATATATTGTAATTTCTAATTATAAAAGTTTAATAATCAATTTTAACTAATTGTCATTTAGTAATATTCTCGACTGCATTCTCTATATACAGTTTAGATGCAATTAGTTTAGAGAAACTATGTATTTTAGCCGAGAGAGAGCGATGGGCATTGTCCACTATCACGTGATCAGCTTCTATTCGGTTAGCGTAAAAATGAATACGAGGGAAAAGAAGGAACGCCAAGTTTCGCAAATTATTTTGCTGTAAAAATACATCGAATCGTAACGTTACACACATTAATATATAAAAGAAATGACAATAATTATCGGAAATCGTACAGTTTGGACAGGTAGGTGTCGATTTTAAAGGGACCTAATAAGTGATAGTGC